TCTTATTTTTAACGCAAAAAGAAGTAACATTTCGAATTTTGATTTTTAAGGAAAAAGATATAACATTTCGAATTTTGATTTTTAAGTAAAAAAGAAGTTACATTTCGAATTTTGATTTTTAAGTCAAAAAGAAGTTACATTTCGAATTCTGATTTTTAAGGCAAAAAGTAACATTTCGAATTTTGATTTTAAGGAAAAAGAAATAACATTTCGAATTCTTATTTTTAAGTCAAAAAGTAGTTACATTTCTGTTGTGGTAAACCCTCCTACAGTAGAATGAACTCTTCCTCCTCTCATAAATACAAATTGCGAGAGTCGGATAGTTGAAGTAGAGTAATAGACGCAGTGCTAATCTACTTATTACTAACACTATTGTTTTGTATATATCTTCAATATACTTTTTCAACATACCTTCGTCATCCGTGTCTTTCTTTCTGGCCCATAAAGAGGCCACAACAATTTCAAATTCTAATTTTTAAGGCAAAAAGAAGTAACATTTCGAATTTTGATTTTTAAGGCAAAAAGTAGTAACATTTCGAATTTTCATTTTTAAGGCAAAAAGAAGTAACATTTCGGATTCTGATTTTTAAGGCAAACAGGTCCTGCGTAATTTTCAAATTAACACAACACAGTTTTCTTACCATCGTGTTCCCCATATTAGGCTTTTACAAGTCGTAAACTTAACTTGGCAAATATCAAAATGAAGCAATATTAAAAAACAAAAACAAACTACAACTTTATTGCCGAATATAAACCGGTGCATTTCGCTGGTATTCCTGGAGGTGATGTTAACGAAACGGTATTTGATATCCTTAAATTTGCCCAAGAAATAATATGCTAATGGGTTTTTAAAACTAGCTATTCTAGTCTGACATTTCTTTCTGCGGTAGACCAGTTGCCATCCAAGGTTATAGAACCCGTTCTGTCCTGCTATTTACCCATAGCTGGGAGGAGAAGAAGAGCACAGCCCGGGTTCTATAACTATGGATAGCAACTGGTCTAACGCAGAAAGAAATGGCAACCTACTGCAGGAAAAAAACCTGCCTCGTCAGTCATATATCGAAAGATACATGATCACCTAAGCATGTATCACGTATGATACATTGACTGATTCTTCCGATTCTCTTTTATAATGTCTTTCTTAACCAGGGAATCGTAAAGGAAATAAGCTTTCTATTCAGAAAGAAGTCGTTTTTTTTAACCGAGATAAAATTATTAATAAATTTTTAATACTCAAAATTCTATATTGCCCACCAAAATTTCCAATCGCCCATCATTTTCTGTTCAGTTGCTCGTTGCCCACCCAACAGTTGAAATCGCCCACTGGTGGGCGATATCGGCCAGGTTGGGAAATCCTGTCTAGATGTATAACCAATGGAGTCCATGTGGAGGAATTTCGATGTTTTTAAATAAACCCTATAGAGTTATCTTCATTTTTTAAAATGAATTTTTAAAAGTGTAAATGTAATATATGAACACTCTTTATATTGAGAAAACTTGAATTCATTTTATCTCCAATGCCCGCCATCAGTCACCTGCGTTCGTGAGAAAGGAACTGGAGGAGAATTCGTTAAGGATTACACGGTTTGACAGGAATGATTTTATTAAGTCAAATAATCGTCCTGAAATTCCCTATCCCTGAAGCTTACGAAAGAGGCAGGCATGTCAAACACTATCAAATGCTTTAGAGATATCTAGAGCCACGGCACGAGCTTCTCCGTTCATGTGAAGTGCTCGGTAAACAAATTCAGTTATGGTCGTCAGCACATCAGCTGTAGATCGGGCAACAAGGAAACCATATTGCTTGTCTGAGAGTAGATCATGGGATGTAAGGTGCTTAACCAATTCGGCGTTGATTAAAGCTTCAAAGACTTTGCCGAAGAGGGGTAGGAGACTGATAGAACGGTAGTTAGATGCGTCAGAATGGTCTCCAGAGTGCTTAAAGACAGGTACAACAGATGAGGACTTCCAACAGGCTGGAAAGCAAGAGTCGTTGAGGCGGTAGCTATATAGTTTGGAGAGGACAAGAGCCAGTTCAGGAGCACATTTCTTCAGACAACGGCTGGTATCCGGCCCCCACGCTAGCCTTATGGGAGTCTAATTTAGAGACGATGCGCAATACCATCGATGGGGTTATGTGCAATTCGCTCAATAGAGCCTCAGTTCTAGGGGAAATCGGGTGTGGGTACACCGGATGAGACGAGCGTTGAATTGGATAGGAATTTCCGAGCAAAGCACTCAGCCTTATCAGCTGAGGAAGTCAGGATCTCAAATTGGTTGAATAGAGGAGGTGTTGTGGGTTTGCTTTTGTTTAGTACGCTCTTGCAGAGACGCCAATAATCTATGGGACCGAATTTGCGAGATGCAATATATTGTTTCATTCTTTCAGCAAATAGTGATTTTACTTCATTGAGAACACGCTTGCACTCATTACGGGCTGAGACAAAGCTACGTCTATTGCAATCTGATATGTCGCTACGGTATAGGTGGAAGAAGTGATTCCTATGGGCAATGGCACCTGAGCAGGCAGCAGAGAACCAAGGGAATGAGCATAATTTAACCTTATATTTCCTTGCAGGGGTGAAAGCCTCGATTCCAGCTTTTACCCACGAGGAGACCTCGGAAGCGCATTTTTGGAGATTAAAGACCACATTCCAGGGGACATCGCGAAAGAAATCACGGAACGATTCCCAGTCTGCTCGTTGATAACAGAAAGATGTTCTGTTGGTAGGAGGTTCTTTCCTGGCGGGGGAGTAGAAGGAGATGTTGACAGACACTACAGCATGATCAGAGTTGCCAAGAGGGCAGAGCTGCGTGGCACAAGAAGACTCGGGGATGGAGGTGAAACAGAGATCGAGAAGAGAAGCCTTACCGTCCTTGTTATTGGGGAAACGTTTGGGAAAGTCAACCATTTATATGAGGGATTGAGTGATTGAAAAGATAAGGGTTTTATGTCAGCAAAGTCAGTTATAGAGTTTTTAAGCCACTTCGTATGGTGGGCGTTAAAGTCACCGAACACGAATATATGTGCAAACGGATGAAGAGAGATAGCCTTGTCTATATTGTCGGAAATGCTATCGAGTACGCCACAGTCTTGGGAGGATTGGGAAAAATAGAGAAAGAATAGGTATCTTACAGCATTGAGGAGAGATTGACGGAGACACATGTATGAATAGTCTGGAGATTCGAGAGAGAGAGAGAGAGCTACCTAGCCAGTGGAAGGTGGTCCTTGACGTAAACTCCCAGGCCATGCATGTGTGTTTCAGAATCTTTTCCAAGGAGAGGAAGGTAACCAGGGATCAAGAAATCAGGGGAGTGGATAAAAGAGTTGAGGTTGGTCTCACAGAGAGCCAGTATATCAGGAGAGTTCTCAATGAGGAACGATTCCACATTACAGAAGTTGGTTCGAATGCCACGAATGTTAGAAAAGGAAATGTTAAAGTGTTTAGGCGATTTTTAGGGTTAGTTTAGGTTTACGTTTTTGATCGTTTGTTGTCATGTTGGGTAATGTTGGTAGTGAAAATGAGAAGGCCTGAAGTAGAAGTAGCAGACGGTCATCGTATGTGACATGGGCCGAAAGGAGCTGGCGCTGCCTGCAATATAATGTGGTCTTAGGGTTACCCACCGGAGGTGCGTGCGGGGACACCCTTCCATGCGCGACATGGCACCTCGATATTATACAACTGTTGATGAAAGCTGCCTCTCAAGACGCTACGCAAGATTTAGGGCCTCTAACTACCAGTCTGGAACAGCAACCAGAAAACTGTCAACCCGGTACCCTCAGAATGAAGAAGCGTTGCCACAGACTGTACATACCACAAAAGAATCACGCCAGTACTACTATAGAGGCCAGGGGGAAGGAAAGGAAACATCCCAGCAACCCCTTCCTAAACAAGAAACAAGGGGTGAGCCACTATTCTTGTTCTTTATTGGATTCCCAATCCGAAATAAAAAAAATAACATTTCGAGTCCTGATTTTTAAAGCAAACAGGTCCTCCGTAATTTTAAAATTAACGCACCACAGTTTTCTTACCCTAGTGTTCCCCATATTAGGCTTTTACAAGTACTAATCTTAACTTGGCAAATATCAAAATGAAGGATTATTAAACAAACAACGTTGTTTCTGATTATTAACCTTTGCCTTTCGCTGGTATTCCTGGAGGTGATACTAAAGAAACAGTCTTTGATATCCCAAGATTTGCCCAAGAAACAATATGCTAATGGGTTTTTAAAACTGGCTATTCTGCCGATTCTCTTCTTTTATAATGTCTTTCTTACCCAGGGGAATCGTAAAGGAAATAGGCTTTCTATTCAGAAACAAGTCGTTTTTTTTAACCGAGATAAAATTAGTCGGAAAGGAATAGCAACAAAATTTGAAGAAATAAAAAATTGTAATAAATCAAAGACGCAAAAGTTGGTGCGACATGAGTGTGTAAATCTCGACGTTATGAGTGAGAAGGGAATAAAGTAGCTACGATTGGGAAATTACGGAAAGCTAGTTACAGACACCTTCCAAATAAAAGAGAGAGAGTGAGAAAGAGATAGGGAGTAAGTAAAAGGGAGTGAGAACAGAAAAGAAAAGAAAGTAAACAGAAGAGAGAGAGAGAGAGAGGGGAGTAAGTAAAAAAGAGTAAGAATAGAAGAGAAAAGGACGTAAACAGGATAGAGAGAGAGAGAGAGAGAGAAAGAGAGAGAGTGAGAATGAAATGGAGAGTAAGTAAAAGAGAGTGAGTCATCAAAGAAAAGAACGTAAACAGAACAGAGAAAGGGAATGAGATAGGGTGTAGGTAAAAGAGAGTGAATTAGCAAAGAAAAGGACGTAAATACGAGAGAGAGAGACAGACAGAGAGCGATAGGGTGTAGGTAAAAGAGAGGAGTTAGCAAAGAAAAAGGACGTAAATACGAGAGAGAGAGAGAGAGAGAGAGAGAGAGAGAGAGAATGAGATGGAGAGTAAGTAAAAGAGAGTGAGTTAAAACAAAGAAGAAAAGACGTAAACCAGTCAGAGAGAGAGGGAGAGAGAGAGACAGAGACAGAGACAGAGAGAGTCAGTCATACAAAGAAAGAAAGCAGTAAGCTATATAAGTAAAAAAAAGACAACGAAAGAAATGCTACTAATACCGTCTCATAACAGTTGTTAAATTTGCGCACATATTTCAGACAATAAATGGAACAACTATTATTGGACAGAGCCGCAGAGGTCGTCTAAGAAAAAAGGGGGAAGTGGTAAGAAGAAGAAAAGATGGGAAAGAAATTTAGAAATGAGACAAAAATGTGGAATAAAAAAAGAAAAATTACTAAAAATTGATTAAAAAATGTCGAAAAAGAAAGAAAGAAAGAAAGAAAGAAAGAAAGAAAGCAAGCAAGAAAGAAAGATACGAGAAGAGATATTGATTAGGTGACGGTGTTATTATTAGTATAAGAGATGGTTCTACATTTGTTTATCATGGAATTTATAAGCACACGAATGTACTCATAACTGAATATGGGAAGCATTGGCAAAATGTTTAACTGATCCGTTAAAACTGGCAAAGTTGGTTAGAAATGTTTTGCATTCTGCATGACTGATTTTCCAAAATACTCTCTCTCACCATCTGGTTTATCAACTATTGTAGCGTGACAATGATAATGCATTTTACAGGTGTTTAGTAACTAAACAGTGCACTAAGACAAACAGTTATTTCAAATGAATTAATGCGAAGTGAAAATGCAACCTGAGCTGAAATTCGAGTCCTGCAACCGATTTGTGTTTTCCCTAAACGGAAATAAATACACTTAAAACAAATGGATACATTTTTGTAGCAAAATGATAAATTCTTACCATTATAAAACCCTGAAGAATATGAAGTTTAAATGAATCAAATCAATCCAGTAAGTAGCTCAAGTATAAATATTAACACAATAGCTACTGATTTGTTTTATGTATTGTGCCCAACCCAGCGCGTGAGAAATCATGGCTCTCCACAATTTCCTATCCTTTATAGTTCTTTGCAATGTTTGTCTCATTATTCCTTACATTCCTTGTTCTGCAATCCATTTACATAAACACGTTAGGCAGGTTAATCAATTTTCCTTCTTGTCTTCAATGTCCTGTGAGTTTTAAATTCTCCAAGCCCACTTTCCTCGTCATCTGTCCAAGAAATTTCAAATTTCTTTTTCTGATTTTAAATGTTTTTATGGTTTTCATTTTCCTTGAAATTTCTTCATTGCTCGTATTTTCTCTCTATGGTATTCTCAGTATCCTTCTGTAGAACCACATCTCTGTTACCTTAAATCTTCTTTTTATCGATGCGGAAATTATCCAGCATTTATTGCCATATAGGAGAATTGATATTACATAGCAGTTCAGCACTCTTTTTTTTCAGTTTATAAAGAAGTTTTTTTTACTGTTTTTAATACTTTATTTAGCTTTCAGAAAACATTTTTAAATATTCTAAGGCACCTTGGGATTTCAATGTCCCATTTTCTGTAGGCTGTTACCAGATATTTAAATGTCTGTATTTGTTTGATTTTTATGTCTCCAATTCCCAATTCACATTTTGGGCTGTTGCTGACGACCATGCATTGTGTCTTCTTACAATTAATGGTTAGTCATTTCTTCCTGCTTTCTTTTACTAACCTGTCTAGGAGATCCTTCAGTTTTCTTTCTCTGTCTGTCATCAGTGTCATCTGGGTACTTTATGCTGTTAAGATTTTGTCCAGCGATAATAAATCCTGGTAGGACTTCTAGTTCTCTTAAGATGGCCTCACTTTAAAAGGTTAAATGAGTCCAATGAAAAAACGCACCCCTGTCTTACGCCCCTTTTTATTTTCGTGTACTTTCTCGGTTTATTTTCTATTCATATCCAGATGGCTTGTCCGAGTAAATAGTCTACGGCTGATTAAAGTAGAATTAAAAAAAAAAAAAAAAAAAAAAAACGAATCTGAGGTTCTAAAATTGGTTTCAATGTTTCTTTTGGGGTATTGTCAAAATTTGTCTCGTTCGCTGAAAGTAGATTAGTTGGCCGCTCAAAGAAAACTTTGTTGTATGATACACAGAAGAAGCCGAGAAAGTGGTTGGAAGGAGGAACACCGGATATGACAATTTTTAAAAAGGAAACTACTTTTATTCAGATGAAGGTTAGACATTCTAACATTGTAATGCACTCGGGAAAGGCTGGAGACATTGTAACAAAAATATAAAACAAAATAAAAAAAAAAGAAAGGAAAATGTCCGAATGAACTAATACAGAATTAAATATTATTTGTTGGTCTAATTTTGATTTTCTGCCAACATTTTTCTTAAAATCATTAATATTTATAACTAAAAAGCAAGATCGACCTTTACTTGTTAGCAGGAAAGATACCTCGAGGTTATAAAGTGAGTTAAACAGGAAGAAAGTGTTGTATTGTGGGAAGAGAAAAACAAGATAAAAGAAAATATTTTTTTCAGTGAGAGGAAAATAAAAAAAAAGACTTCCGGAGTAGAAATGGGATGAAGAACATAATTTTGAATGTTAAAAGAAAAAAGGAATAGAAGGAAAAGAAGAAGAGGGGGAAGAAATAAATGAAGGAAAGAAAATATTTTAAAAAAGAAAGCCTTTAAAAACGAGAAATAAGTGAAATGGAAGGAAAAGGAAAGCAAGTAAACGGAAAAATGGAGGAAGAATATATATATATATATATATATATATATATATACAGTGTAACCTGATATAAGAGACCCGGATATAAGAGAAACCCGGATATAAGAGAGATTTTCTCTGGTCCCAAATTAGAGCCTGTGTTAATGTATATAAAATAGACCAAACCCGGATATAAGAAAAACCCGGATATAAGAGACTTCTTCTCGGTCCCGAAAACTCTCTTATATCCGGGTAACACTATATATATATATATATATATATATATATATATATATATATATATAAAAAAAGAAAGAGGCTAAAAGAAGAAAGAGAAATTAAAATGAAACGAAAAACAAGAAAAATATTAAGGAAAAATAATTTTTAAAAAGCTGTAAAAATAACAAAGAGTGAAATAGAAGAGAAAAGAGCCTAAAAATGAAGGAAAGAATTTTTTTTTTTTTTTAAATAAATGAATTTTAAATAAGAGAACCGAGAGATGCCTATTTTCCGGTTCACACTCCTCCCCTGTCTTTGAAACAGGAGTAGGGGTTTATCCCTTGTTTCCTATTTAAGATTGGGTTTCCAGTTCCTTTGAAAGTTTTTTCGTTCTCTTTTACTCTCAGTAGCCCCTTTTGTCTTAGTGACATAATTGTCTTGCTTGTGGTGAACTGATTAAAACAAGAAGAAGAAAAGAAAAAAAAAGAAGATATTAAAAAAAAAGCAGTTAAAATAAAAGAAAAACTAAAAGAAAAATAGAAAAAGAAATCATGGGAAGAAATTATCTTTTAAAAAAGGAAAAGCGGATTAATTACGAATGAAAAGATAAACGAAAGGAAAACAGAAGATAAGAAGAAATCAATGAAAGATTTAAAAAGTGGACATTGTGAAAGGATGGAAGAAAAGAAAATAGCAAAGAAAAAAAATGAAGGAAATAAAACAAAATCGACGAGAAAGAAAAGTTAACGACAAAAAAATGTACATTCGACAGAAATAAAAGAACAAAAACCAAGACGGACTAGACGATCTTCTTTATGTGCCGTGTGAAATGGGAGGCGGTCGATGTTTCTCAATCAGGAGAACGCAGACCCTGTGAACAGATTTCCAACCATAAGGTTTACACAGACTCCATTAGTTCCCAATTTCACGGATTCACAAAGCTAAATTAAATTACTTTGGTATTTTTGAGCAAAAGAATATGTAAAAGATAGATCATTCAAGAATTTTATATGGTCGGTGCAAAATAACATTTAGATTACAATTGTGTGAAACAGAATTGTAGGCCATAATGCCTCTAAAACGCAAATGGGTTCTTCTTCTTCTCTGTGGCGTCTGCCTTCTTCACGTAGGTGGTCATTAGTCTCCACAATTTCATAGATTTTAATAAATTTAGTCTTTTTGTTACTTCTAAACCTTGTTCCTCCATCCATTTAGCCATTAAGTATGCTATACGTTGTTTTCCTCTGTTCCTCTTGCCTTCAATCTGTCCTGTGAGTATCAGATTTTCCAGGCTTTCTTTCCACACTATGTGTTCCAGAAATTTCAACTTTCCCTGATGTTAAGTATAAGTTTCCTTTTTGTTTCCGTGTTCTCTAAAACTTCGTCGTTGCTCGCATATTCGGTCCTTGGCATCTATAGCGTCCTTTTGTAGACGCATATTTCTTTTGCTTCAAATCTCTTCTTCATCTTTAAAGAGATTGTTCAGCATTCACTGCTATACAGGAGGACTGAGGTCACGTCACAGTTCAGTACTCTTTTCTTTGTTTCTAACGACATTTTTCTTTTTCTTAATATTCTGCTTAGCTTTTGGACTGCATCTTTGGCTATCCAAATACGCCTTCGGATTTCAGTGTTTCACTTTCTGCACTTTGTTAAAACACTTACCTGATATTTAAATTTTTCTCCTTGTTTGATCTTTGATTTTTAATTTACATTTAAGGTTAATTCTTTTGCTGACAAAAATAAGAAGTTAAAAAAAAAACGAAAGCGAAAGTGAAAGTGAAAGTAGTTTTTATGATTTTAAGATGAATACCTATGGCTTCTATAAATTATGATATTTCGCAGTTCAACATAGATCTGTGCTGCACTGCAAATTGTTTAGTCTAATTGAAAATACCTGGAGGAGTTTAGATTATACAGATGATACTATTCGTTTGTGATGAAGAAATTACCATTAAATTCAAAACTACACGGCATATTCTGCAGTAGTTGAGCCAGAATGGTAAATTCATAACTCGGCAAATTCTTATACGCTCTATTAATGCAAATACCTTGTCATAATTTTAATTTTTAAAAGTCATAAACATATACACTTTAAATTAAACAATTTATGAATACCGTCTATAATTTCAGAGGATAAAGAGGATAATGATCGAATTTTAACTTCAAGAAGTTAAAAACTTGTAGTCTTCATGGAAGCACCCCCGCAGGGGTTCGTTCCACAAAATAGCAGTTCTTGGAAAAAAATGTCTGAGTGGAACGTTCACTTTACAAATGGAATGTTCTAGCTCTAAGTATCTGAACTGGTGGAGCTAAAGAACGGGGCATGTCTGCACATTTACCGTGGAAATACAGATAGGCATGCGACATTGCATCTGTAGGGAAAGAGGGCACAGAGTTGAAAATAAGACTCGCATAAACGGTGAAAATATTTATAGAAAGACAAAAGGAAGCCACATCATGTCGGTGAAAAAGTGACTGAAGTCCAGATGCCTGGTCAGGATCGATTTCATTACAGATCCTTCTTTGGATTTTGTCAAGAATCTCGAAATGTACAGTAGGAGTCCCAGGCCAGCTATGGAAACGGTATTCAACGCACGGGCGAATGGTAGATTTATAAATGTGCAAGATAGATTCTGATGAGAAATGATTTTCTCGCACGACGCAATTTACCAAACTTTCCTTGCAGTAGATGCAGCTATTGCGGCTATTGATTCGGATTAGTCACTCCACCTCAAGTTAGGGGCAAACGTGAGTCCAAGAAGGCGTAGAGTGTTGTTCTCCTGTAGTCTAGCGTCTTGGAGCGATAGAATGAGCCAAACATTTTTCCACCATCTTTAGCAATGGATCGTACATATAAGTTCCACAGTCTCGTCAGCTGCAAACTTACTTAATTCCATAAAACATTGTCTTATTAGTGGTTCAAACACATTCAGAATATCAAAAGAATTAATCGAAGAATGCATAGAATTAAAACTAGAATCATTCTTTTCATGGAATACATAATTTAGCTGAATAGTAGGGAAAGTTCGTGCAATATCTCTGCTCGATGCGTTCTGTCATTTTGCGTGAAAGCGAAAACCCAACGAGCGAGCACAACACGTTTCTACTCTAGGCGTAAAAGTCAGGAACTGACACGGCCTGTCGGCGCGAAAATTCTCGCTCATGCGTAGAAAAGGTGTCGAAAAAAATAAAGTCAGATACTTTTTGAGCATACCTCGTATATGAATAAAACGTTATACCAAAATGCTGGAAGCTTTTTTTTTTTTTTTTTTTTTTTTTTTTTTTGCCTTAGCATAAACAAAATGAGCTGATTTACGTTGGACAGTAAGAGAGTCTCAATTATGAGGGACACCAGTCTGTAAGACTAGTTTGCCGATCATTACTAGACGGGAGATAATTCGATGGGAAAAGAAATGATATAATGTAAGAGGATAAGTAAAAAGAAAAAGTAAACATACAACGTATACAAAGTGTATACAGCGAGGGAGAAGAAAGAGAATAATAGGAAAAAGACAAACTTCGAAGAAAAGATACGTGAAAACGGTAAAAATAGAATAGAAAATTTAACAACGATAAAAAGAGGACGAAGCAAACTGAAGAAAGAGAGAGAGAGGCACACCAAGAATTTGTGAACGAGTGAACGGATGAGTGAGTGGATGAGTGAGTTTTTGGCAAGAGAGAGATTGGAAAGAAAACCGCATGAAGTGAGTGGGTAGAAACGAAACAGCAGCGAAGAGAAAGAAAGACAACAGAAAGGGAGAGAATTTCTACTTAGCAGACGAGACTGTAAGAAAACTATAAGCGTGGAGCATCATGGGTAATTAAATTATTTATATTTAAAATTCGGTTATATTTTTAAATTGTATTTATTTGTCTATCACAGTGCATTTTAAAAAAACATTTTTCTTTACACAGATAAGTTTGGGCCTCTATCAATAGACATAATCATCTTCTGTCGTGGAATAATTTTAAACATCGTGCCAATTACACTAGTTTCGGTAAATTGTCTGCTTCACAGACGAAACAGGTTTCTGTTTATAAATTTTGAAACGTTGCAGAAGAAAACCTCCATGAAAAGCAATCGGCAAATGATGGATATCTGTAAAAATATAACCCTTTCATACTGTTAATAATTATTTATCAACGGAGGTCGACTGAAATCAAGATTATAAAATCATTGTGAACTCCATGATCTTGTTGATGGCCGAATAGTATGTATTATAGCAAGGTTACATAGAGTTCTGAATACAGAGTCGTCCTTCTCCTAGAACAGGGGTTCTAAACCCGGGGAGAATTGCCTCCTCCAGAGTGGAATTTCATGGTTTCAGGAGTGGAAGGAAAAAATATTTTACTTTTTTATTTACAGAATTTTGTTTATTGAATTACAATATCCTGGTATTCTATCGGAATCTTTGCTTATTGAAGTATGCTTCAATTTATTTATTTATTAATTAGTTATGAATTAAAACAAATTATTATACATGTATTCAAGTTTAAAAAATCCGTCAATATTTTCTATTGCTCTTAAATTTGTAAAAATCTATAAATAGAATCCACGTAAATGTATATAGAAAGGAATGAAGATTTTCAATGATATATAAATATTATTTGAAATTCACATTTTGAGTTGGACAATCTTGGAAAGTTGGGGGATAACATACTTATGCTGAAAAGGGTGCATTGGGCAAAACAAGGTTAAGTAACACTGTCCTAGAGAGCACAGTTTGCCCTGCTAAAAAGCCATTGATAGTGGGCGAAGAGATTGATTCATATTGTGTTCACATTTTTAGTGTAGAATAAAGGGGAATAATTTAAGGTTAAAGATTAAGAAAAACAAATCTCCAAAGGAATAAACAACCACACAGGTTGTTGGAAATGTATCGTGTTTCTGAAATATAATCTATTTGACAGGATCAGTTGACAGTCACAAGTTCCACAAGAAAAAAAGCAAAGGAAGCGGAATGCAGAGGAGATTTTTTTCATTGGTTCGCGAATTGATGAATCAGAAACTAACAAGAATGCGAGATTTCCTAGTAATAAAAAGAAGTTCCTTCCTTGAAAATTCTTGAATGAGGTTTTTGACTCAGTAGCAGTCAGATGGTAGCAGGGTAGGTATTTCGCTCTCTGCACTCTCTCCGTCACTGAGAACTAATCGGCAACAGTTCCCTGTTGGAGATAATAAAATTGACCGATGCAGACCCCATTGCGTTGTGACATTTTTTTATTACAAGAAAACATTACGCCTAGTGAAAAGGTGGCTTTTGAATTTCACTGAGAAATCGATACCGTGTAAATCTGGGTTATTGGTCTAAAGACAATTAAAGCGATCCTCTGCAAAGCAACAACCGGAGTTCCCTTCGAGTAACAATTCAACAATATCTTTTCCAAGGGTATTCGCGCAAAAGTGAATGCAGATGCAACGAAATCGGTTCGCCGATTTCTCGTTCAGAAATGTTTGGCATTTCAGCGCCTGTATATTTTGTTAATATGAGGATCTATTTCATTTTAAAGCATAATACAGTGATCATTTTTATCTGCGTTTTCGCCCTATGCATTTTCAGTTATTGACGCTCCCCCCCCCCCGCCGGAATAAACATTTCCTATGTTTTCATTAATGACTGAAAATCGCAAAACTAATGATGCTGAAGATTCAGTTATGCCAAAGAGAAGATGGAAGTTATCGGCTTAGAAGAAAGAAAGAAATTGTACGCTGACATTACATCGCCACATCTTAATGCAGTATAACGTTCATTACAAGCAACTGTCAACGTAATCCAAGGCAGGAGTCGATAAAAAGGTAAATAAAACTCCGAAAACTCTCGCCGTCTCTCTTGCTTTAAGTAAACTGTTACTAACGAATATTCAGTAAAAACAATTATTATAGAAAATTGTCATAATTGTTCTGTTATATAATTATTAATTGTTGTTAATCTGTTATGTTTTCTAATTTATGAATTAATCTTTATCATAAGTGTGTACATGCAGGAATGCTGTACACACACATATGCAAACACACGCACACACATATACAAACACACGCACATACACACATACACAAAAGCATTTACACACTTTCTCTTTTGCCATTCATTTACACATTTTCGTTAAGTATGTTACTTGTTTTCCTGTTTAATACCGATTCCCGACCGATCACCGAAATTAAGCATCGCCGGTCCTGGTCAATATCAACATGGGTGACGGCTTGGGAATATTAAGGGCTGTAAGCTTGGATGTGCGGGTGGTGCAATGCATAATGGCTCGGAATTTTTAATTAAAGTTCCAATACAAGTTATATTCACTTACGCTGAAATACTCTAGAAAAATAAGCAAACACTTATATCAACAGATGACATATTGTTTCGCTTATCACAATGCATTTTATATAAATAAATGCAGATTTTATCCTCTGTATTCTCATTCTATGTTCAGTAATTTGTAAGCTAGATTTGTAATATTTTTATTCTTAGTTATGCATATTGCCTTTAATTCCACTCGTGTTCCCCTCTATACAAGGTCTTTCGCTGTGCTTGTTTAAGTAAACAGAGCTCACTTTGAGTAATGGTTAATGAGCTAATCTAACAGAACATTACTACAGTAGTGAGTTCTAGGACTGCAACTCCCGAAATGGATTTGGCAGTCATAGAACACCAACTACTTAGTGAAGTGGCTGGTGTTTTGCAACCCTGTGAACAGATTTCTAACCATGACAAATAGTGACAAGTTCCCAACCAGGGGTCTACGGACTCAGTCAGTTAAGTGCCATACGTGATACACATATATCTTTTGATACATGACTGACGAGGCAGATTTTTTCCCGCAGTAGGTTGCCATTTCTTTCTGCGGTAGAACGGTTACCAACCAAGGCTAAAGAACCTAGTCTGTTTTGCTATTAAACCCATACCTGGGGGATAAGAGATGGCTTCATAGTTTTCCCAAGGGTATTTTTGCGCAAGTGAATCTAACTCGGCTCTCCGAGTTCTCACTCGAAACCGATGTCCATTACGCTACATCCGGACTCACAAAGTTCGGATGTAGTGTTAAATTGGTTTGGTATTTTTGAGCAAAAGGATATGTAATAGGTTATCATTCGAGAATTTTAAATGGTCGATGCAAAATAAAATTTAGGTTACAATTTTAATGTGAAGCAGAACTGTAAGCGATAATGCCTCTAAGACGCAAGTGGGTTCTTCTTTTATGTGAGATGACCCTTCTTCACGTATGTGATCACTGGTCTCCAAAATGTCTTCCTTTGTAGCTCTTAATAAATCTTGTCTTTTTGTCATCTATCCTAAACCATGTTCCGCCATTTACTTAAGCTCAGGTTATGCGTTATTTTTTTCTGTCTCTCTTGCCATCAACACGTCCTGTGTTAAATTTTCCAAGCCGTCTTTCCTCATTATGTGCCCTTAAAATTTCAACTGTTTCTTCCTGATGTTAAGTATAAGTTTCTTTTTGTTTCCATTTTCTCTAAAATTTCGTCGTTTCCCACATCTTCGGTCCATGGTAACTACAGCATTCTCATGTAGAACCAAATTTCTGTTACTTCAAGTTTCTTCTTCATCTGTGAGGAGACCGTCCAGTATTCATTTTTATATAAAAGGACTGATATTATATAACAGTTTAGTACGCTTTTCATTGTTTTCAACGAAATTGTTCTGTTTTTTTTTTTTATTACTTTTCTTAGCTTATTGGGAGTGAAAGTGAATGAAATTACTTTAGAAGGAATCGGAAATCCAATCTTAAACAAGAATCAAGAGATAAACCTCTACTCCTGTTTAAAACACCGGGGAGGAGTGGGAAGTGGATGATAGACAAACCTATCGACCAGGAAACAATATAAAATTCTCATGTAACGTTTTTAGTAGCGCAAATATCTTCGATGCATTAATGTATCTTCCCGTTGCTATTTACACACTCAAGGTCAACAATATTACATATTCTTTGGAATAAACAGCAAGTGAAATTGGCACAATTCAGAAACACATATCTGACTTAAGCAAAAATGAAATTTATGTGTAAATATGAAAAAAGAATTATCGATTCTTAAAATGTGGGATAAAAACGAGTCCCCTATCAGTTAATACAGGACACATGCTTCAGCATCAAAATGCGGGACAGTCGCGCCTTTTGTGAGGTGGTTGGCAATTCTCACTGGAAGACCCTACAAGTGGCGTTATGTCAGTCTAAAGTAAGATTTGGATTAGATGCAAAAATTTGTTTCCAATTAGAAAATTAAAACCAAAATTTTACATACCCACAAAAAACAAGTAAATAATCTCCATTGTTATTAACAATTGTCTCCCATCGTTCCACAATCTTGCTGATGCCATTTCTGTAGAAATTTTGTTTTTCGTTGGAAGAAGATTGTGAGGTGGTCTTCGACTGACTGTAGAGAGTCAATTTTTTGTTATTTAAATTGTTCAGTAGAGGCAAGAACAAATGAAAATCTAAAGGGGCCAAGTCAGGAGAATACCGTAGGTGCTGGAGGTTTTTCCCATTTCAATTGTTTAAGCTTCTGCAAGGTCTGTTTTGCAACATGTGGTCTTGTGTTTTCATGGAGGAATATGACACCTTTTTGGATTTTTTTCTTCAACCCAAGTCTCTTCAAATGGCGAAAGGCAGTTGAGATATCGATTTTCAAACTCTTAGCAATCTCTATCGCCGTAATCTTCGGTTTATCCTTCACGATGGCAAGCAGGATATCCTCATCGACGTCGGTATTTTGCCCGATGTGTGATTGATCATTTCGGTGAAAATCACCTTAAGAAAATCTGCTAAACCAATTTTTGACCGAACAAAGATTTGGAGGCAAATAAAACCTCTGGACTTTTTTTTTTTTTTGGTGCAGTTCCGAAACTTACGCCTTTCCGAAATTCATATGGAAAAAGCGCAACTTTTTATCTTCCATCTTTAAGGCATTCATTTGTGTACAAAACGCCAACATTCCAAAAAATTTGACTTGCAACTGAACGATGCAAGGTTTCAATCAAGATGACACCAGAAATCAGCAGCAAAACACATGCCAGTGTCAAGCTGCGGTCATTTTATGAAAATCGGGCGCGAACTTTTGCAGTGGTTTTATAAATACCTATGCCTATATTAGAAAAGCTACATTCACGTTTTTATGGTTGAATGTCCTCCTGTTTTCGTGTTCATTTCAATGACTTTTCAATGCCATAATTGATTATTTGTAATTGTCGTTAATTTGAATTTTTTCTTCTATGAAAATCCACCTGTTTTCTATTTCATTCGCTGCGAACGTATTAAATGACGATGGGCGTTCGTCGCCAGAAGTATGTCAACCTGTTCTTATTCAGGACATTAGGCAATCATGGCTCTACATTACTTTCTATCTCGAGTGGCTCTAACCAGTTTCTCCCTTTGCTAAGGCCATTGTGTCGCCATCTTGTCCTCCATTTATCTCGTGAGGGCTAATTTTTCCAAGCCCTCCTGTTATAATGACCGAATTCCATTGCAATAATAGACAGCAGAAAATGTAATCCGTTGGCTCTTAAAGATTGTCTTTCATAAAGGCTTTATCCACGAAATTAAACTATCAATTAGCAAGCGGAATTTAAAACATTTTTGCTATTTTTTAATGTTCTCTGAATTGATAGGCAATTCTAGAGTTCAAAATACGAATATAAAAATCTCTTCTTTCCCAGTCATAGGTTAATTAGTAACACTTGTATCACTAGAATGTTATTATGTCCTGAAGAATAAAAATAAAAAATAAAAAATTGCCTACGAAATATTTAGATTTCAGTATTAAATAAAGCAAAGAACCAAAAACAACCAACCAAAACAATAATAGTAAAAACAAAATTATGTGACTTCGTCTTTCTTCGATAATTTCCGTCGGTAAATTTAGTTTGTGTCAAATGAGCGTGCGTGTGTGTTTTACCTGTGTGTCGGGTCTGCGTATAAATCTACATAAATATAAATAAATGGGTATATATCTACTTGTCTACACATTGAAATGCGTCTCCTATATTTTTTTTTTCATTTTTCGGTCATAGGCACGAGCTTATTCCCTGAACCAGTAAACAATGTCGACATCAGAACTTGCCGGCCAACAAAAGACATTTCCTCTTATTTTCTTCACCACTTTTCATGCAACTTTCGTCACTTGACCCCATATTGTAATACCTCGTTACCATTTCCGGAACGTTCTGATAACTATCATTGGCTACTTTGGTATTCAGAAAAGTACACAAGCTACACATATATATATATATATATATATATATATATATATATATATATATATATATATTACTAGGAGAAGGACAACTCTGAATGCAAAACCTGTGGAGGGTCGTTTGGGGTGCACCAGGTCTCTGTATTCGGCCCATCAAAATGTGTGGTTGGTTCTGCCCAAAACCTTCACAACTATAATCAAATCATATGTGCTGGTGTCTGGGCTGTCGGTTCCTAGGAACTGAGCTGCTTGACCCTCATACGTCGAATACGACGGGGAGTCCACTATATATATATATATATATATATATATATATATATATATATGTGTGTGTGTGTGTGTGTGTGTGTGTGCGTGAAAGGTGTTGATATTTGTATCAATTAATGCACATTTGAGAACTTTTCATAAGGATATTTTGAGATACACACACACACACGCGTACACACACACACACACACACATGAATATATATATATATATATATATATATATATATATATATATATATATATATATATATGAATACAAGGTTCGTATAGATGGAATAAAATTCTAGTAACTAAAACCACTATTTTAGAAAAGTGCTCAATACGAAGTAGAGCGAATAATATTTATTTAAAAATTGTAACATAAGTTATGTTATAACATGACTTCAAAATTAGCCATATTGTTTTAACACATCTGGTAATGTTATAACATACTTATGCTAGAATTTTAAATAAATATTTTTCCTTTTTTATTTTATTATATATATATATATATATATATATATATATATATATATATATATATATATATGAATTATACAAAGCGTCTTATTGTGGGCACGTTTAAACATGTTTGCCGAAGTTTTATATGCATATATATATACATGCTTATCCAGACGTCTTGCATTACACATATCTAATCCCAGCTCCATTAGAACCCATTTAAACACACACACACACACAAATTTACCAGACTCCATTAGAAACATACTAGTAGAAAACACAAATATAATAACTGAATCTACCTGTAAAAAAGATTAAAAATAATGGAAGCTCTAATAATAAAAAAAGAAGCCAACTCTTAACATTAACTACGAAAAAAGCCACAATGTCCTAACCGTATTCAGAAATTAAAAACATCCCTACAAAACACTAAAACATACACATAATGCACACACTCAGTTAAGCTGAAAAATCGAATAATCCTTGATAATGGCTAAAGGTATAGCCAAAAGCGCTCGGAACTATAAAACATTTGGACAGTTTTTACACACTCTTTGTCCAGAAAAAAAAGCTCTTGTTCGAACACAAGAAAAATTAAATAAAAAGCTTAACCGTAGTACCTTATATGTCGTTTTTAATGAAACATATATATATATATATATATATATATATATATATATATATATATATTATATAATTGTGTATATATATATATATATATATATATATA